ATATTTACCTTGTGTGAGAGTGTTCACAATGCCTCATATCTGCAGTTTCTCTAAGCAGTGGACACTTGTTCTATCATATCTAAAAGGTATACCTAAAATATCTAAGGCAGAACTGCTTTAGATATTTATTTTCAGATGTAAAATAGCAACTGATGCTCTCCAAGTGAAGCTGGTATTTTCTCTTACATTGTTTTTAAGGTGTAGCATTTTAAGCTTTAAGTAACAGATTGTCCTGAAAAATGTGTAGATTCCCCCACAGAGATGGGAAAAGACACAAAGCAGCCATTTTGATAGTCTAGGCTTTCACACAGCACAGCACAATCAGGGTTTAAGTTTAGGCAGATCATCTCTGTTTATATGGTTATCATGATATTTCTCCCTTTACTGACGAGTATCCAGATAAGGAATATGAATCCTACCTGAACTGAGAAGAACTTCCAGCTTTCCATATTTTGGGGAGGAGGCTCACCAGCTCTAGGAGTAAACTAGGAACTGGGGTGTCCTGTGCAGTTTAGGGACACACTGTGACAGTAGTGAGCACAAGTAGGCAATTGAGGTTTGCCTACGCCTTTGAAATATTGCCAGTGATATACGAGAGACTCTACACCACAGAGGAAATAATACATACTGTTTCCATATTATATAGTCATTGAACCTTTATTTCTAAAGGTGGAAAAAAAAATCTGAAACAATTCTTAGCGTTTATGAATGAGGTGGACAGTGGTTAAATCATGACAAATGTTCAGCTGATAGAATGTTAAACAACTCTTGAAAATACTTATTTAGATATGCAGAATATGACCAAGGAATAACATGGAATAATGTGTGAAATAGAGTAATGTGGAAAATATTTCAGTGTACATTTTAAAGAGAAAAACAAACAAAGCAGGATAAATTTAGCTTAGGGCTTTCTCCAATTCTAGAGTGATGCAGAATCTTCCCGGTCTTTCCAGTCTCTTGTAATAGCCAATAAAAACCTCCTATTTAGGTGGTGGGATTGTGACATCACCAATAAGACAGCCAATCTCTTTGATGAGTATTTGCATAGTTTACTCCTTCTAATCCAACAGAACTCAGTTTCTTTTAAGGAAAAGCCTTGAGTGGAAGTATGACTTTGCAGCAGAAAAGGAAGAAAATTATATTAACAAAGATGTATTTGTAATGGTATTGCTATCCAAATATAGTGTTCAAAATTAGATCTTGTCCCTCCAGGCAGCACTTTTATCTTATGTTAAATCTTTAAGTAGCTCTCTGACGACTACTTATCCTATCCGTTTGATGTTTAACTGTTAGATGTTTAAATGCTGGTGTAAAAAAGAGGGGGTGTGTGTGCTGGAGGAGTGGCTCACGTGGTGAGTGCCCGGCAGCAAGCCTGAGACCTGAGTTTAGACTCCAGTACCAACAAAATGATGCTCCCTAATGTTATAGATAGATGCTAATCCAACTTTAGAGTTAAAATTTTTAAAGACAAACATTCGTACAAAGTAGGAAATTATTTTCTTTGATACTTGACAAGCCTTATACTACTGGCAAAAAATAAAAAAAAAAAGTTTTATTCAGACCTAATTGCTGTTATAAAAAGAAAACTCACTTTAATCTTGGCACCTTATCCTCTGCAATTAAAAAGCCATCATTTATCAAACCATAGGATCTGAGTGTTGGCCAGGGAACAAGATGTTGTAACTGCTCTGCATCCTCCTTGATATGTACTTACTGGTTGACCAGCTTTGATACTTCCGAATGCTTTTATCATCTAACTGAGGTTTCCACGGAGAATGTACTTGGCTCCATGGGTTAAATCTGCCTTTTTTATCTGTCATTCAGGGGGCTTGGACAAGTTAATTATGTTCACTTCATCTGGGCTGTCTTGTTTGCTTTTGGATATACTGGGGTTTGAATTCAGGGCCTTCTCATGCTTATAGGCAGGTACTCTTATCACGAAGCCATAGCTCTAACAAGAAACAAGGAATTTTTTTTTTTTTTTTTTTTGGGTGAGGGTGATACTGGGGATTGAACTCTGGCTCTTGTTTGTTGTTTTTGTTTTTTGTTTTTCTCAGCAAGTGCTTTACTACTTGAGCCATTCCCTCAGTGTCATCTGCTTTAGCTACTTAAATCTTCAAGTAACTACTCAAGAGCAGATAGGATTAGTCCTTATTTACAGGTGAGAAAAACAAAGATGAAAGAGGTGAATATATTCAACTGTACAAAAACTCACAGAGTAATAGAACCTGAATTCTAACATGAAATTCTAATATCCAGACCAGCATTCTTCCCACTACACCATTCATTTACTTACAATTAACTAAATGTGCCAAAATAGAATGGCAAATGCTTACATACTAAACAGAACCACTTGCATTGTAAATCTGCAAATGTTTTGTCTTATCTTAAATATAAAAACATAGTTTTTTTTTTGCGTTTTTCCCCTGAAGAATCACAACACAGTAGAATGATCCCATCCTTTAAATTAAATCAAGGAGCCCAAGTACTTTCAAGTTCTATGTATCTGAAGTACTCAATCATTTGTGGTCAATGAGAATCTGCAATTGGCTGGAAAACAGTGGCTGATGTCCCTCAGGTCTCTATACTGACTCACCATTCAAACTTGTTTGGCAGTAGTATATTCATTACTACAAAACACACTGTCACTGCTTGAAATTGAGCTTGAGCTTCCAAGGATAGAACCATTAGACTGAAGCATGTAACCCTTTTGTAACACAGAGCGATGGGACTTATTGTGTGTCAGAAAATGTCTAAGAACTTGACATACGCTACCCAACATGCTAAAAGGTAGGTATTGCTTCTAGCCCTATTGCAAATAGCTAGGAAACTAGGACACAGGGAATGAGAGCTGGGGATGTAACTCAGTGGTAAAGTGCATGCTTAGCCTACCCTGACTTCAATCCTCAGCATCAAAAACAAACACCAAAACCTTTTTCCTGGCCTATATTAAGCCTTGCTTGGCTGTGATGTTGTATATAAGTACAAAATAATACAAAAATCAAATTGAAGCAGGATGTGATATCACACATGCAGAATCCCAGTACCTGGGATACTGAGGCAGAAAGATGGAGTTTGAAACCAGGCTGGGCTAAAAGCAAGAGCATGTCTCAACAAAACAAAATAAACCCCCAAATTTAAGATCAACTTCAATCCAGTATCAAAATGAGCCATAATTCAAAATTATGTTCTCTATTTCCTTAGGATTTCTATAGAATCCTACTTTTTTCCAGCTTGAAGTCAAGAATATAGGCTATTTGCTAGCATACCACTTAGCCTGTCCCTTGCCTAGGATTTGTGGGGCCTTGGCCTTCTGGGCCAGCTTGGACAGAGGCAGTGTGTTCATCTCCCTTACATTTTGTACCAGGGTAAGCTGTCCCCTTTGGTTCTGTCTAATCTTGCCCACCATCTACTCTGCCCTTTCTCACCATTGAAAATGCCAAAGGCTTATAGCTTTGTATTTTTACATGTTGGCTGGGCTGATCGTGTAGTGGATATGTGTGTGTGTGTTGTGTGTGTGTTGTGTATGTGTGTGTGTTGGGGGTGAGGAGAGAGGTTTTCCTTTTCAGCCCATCCTAAATTTCTGTCTTCTAAAAACGGAGCGGCTTAGTTTAGAAAGTGGCTGCTGACTTTAGCAAATCCCTAACAACTCAATCTCTTTTAGGATACACATTGAAATGAGTGGTTAGAATGGGAAGGATATGGAACAGAGGAAGTTCACAGAGCAGTGGGATGGCAGGGAGGCTAGAATGCCTCCCTTGTGTGTGAAAGAGACTGGTAAACTGTAAAATCCTTCAGATGTCACTGTGACTCCCAGACTGAGTCCTTCATTGTCACAGTGTAAGCCAGTGGTTCTCAGATGTTGGTTGGCATGCGAATTTCCCGGAGGGCTTGTCAAAACACGGACTTGTGGGCTCACTACTTCTGATTCCGTCTATCCTGCCCCCAGCCAAGAATTTACATTGGATGCGGTTCCCGGGCGATGCTTGATCCTGCTGGTCCTCTGCTTTCTGGAGACGCACCCTCCGTTTTTAGCACAGTAGGTGTGCAATCTGCCACACAGGTAGTTACTATTCCTATGCTGTCTATCTTGGGATCCCCAGCGTTTGCACTCTTCCGTGTTGATTTGCTCCAAGCCTTTTGACTGATGGGAAAAGAGACAATATCTCCCCCCTTCCCCCCCCCCCCGCTTCTGTATGTATCCTCTTCCTGCCCTAAGTACCCATTCTTATTTCGAAGCTGCTTCACAAGAACAGGAGATTCTCACCCAAGTCGCTACGCTCACTGTGCAAGTGTCAATTTCTGAGCACAAAGCACCAAGTACTCGCGAGAGGTGCAAACAGAGAGGGGGTGGTGGGCTGGCCCCTCCTCCTGCTTTAAGTGAGCCGTAGGTTGGTGACTCACACGAGGTATCCTCGAAGGGCTCGTGTCTCCCGAATTGGGAGGGATGGATACAACCCCGCGTGCAATGTGTGCGGGGCAGGATGACAAAACACCCTTATTACACACACACACCGCCAACACAGCGAGATGGGCGAGACTCTTCCCTTGACAGGGTCCCTCCAATGCTGAGCCCCCAGGAACCCTCCGCCCGCGTACCTAACCCACAACCCGCCCTCCGCAAGGCCAACACGCCGCACCGCATCCCTCCCCGCCCTCCTCCCAGGGGCTCGCACAGTGCAACCAACCCTAACCAGCGTAGCCGCGCGACGCCCCCACCTCGGCCCGCCGGCCTTCCGATTGGCGGGCTGGCGCTGTCACTCTGCACGCCCCGCCCCCTCCCGCTCGCGGGCGGAGGCCGCTGGGCGGGGTAGGCTGCGCGCTCTCGGCGGGCTCCGGCCGCGGCTTTGCGGCAGGCGGCGCGGCGCGGCGGGCGGGGAGCGGGGCGCGCGGGCCGGGGGGAGGGGGCGGCCCATGGGGGTCGGGGGTCAGCGGCAGGGCCGGGGGCGGGGGGGGGCCACAGCCGGCGCCGAGGGTGGCCGACCGGGACCTGCCCGGCCGGCTGCCCCGTGCCCCGCCTCGCCCTGCAGCCTGGCCGGCGGGAGGGATGCGCCGTGCCGCCCTACTCCCCTCCGCCCGGCCCGTGCCCTGAAGCAGAAAGTTTGGGGGACCCCCCCTCCAGTGACTGCCCAAGGACTCCTGCTGCCCAGCCTCGATGGTAACCTGCCTTCGCTCCCCAGGTCGGAATGAATGATTCCGAGGCACCCCCTTCTCGCCCCCCCCTCGTCCGCCTTTAAGAAAAACAATTGTGATTATTTTTGATTCAAGAAATCGTGGTCTGTCCCCGCCCCGCTCCTTGTTAAGAGTCGAAGACCCCAGGCCTCATTTCTCAGTGGAAGGAGGGGTGCGATCTCCCCCCAAGACAGCGCGCTAGAAGGACAGATTCCCCTTGCCGACCCACATACACCATGCAAAGGTGCAAATCGGACGAGCTGCAGCCGCCGCGGGGCGAGGAGGATGGAGCGGGGCCGGACGAGGCGGGCGGACACCTGCCGGGGGCCGACCCCCGGCCCGGGGAGGCCTCGGGCGCCAACTCCGCGGGCGGCCCAACTTCAGAGGCCGCCCCTGCGGCGCCACCCAACCCGGGTCCCCGAAGCAAACCTCCCGATTTAAAGGTGAGCGAAGACCTCCCCCCCGCCCCCCCGCGCGCAAGCCCAGCCCACCCTCCCCCCACGCGCAAGTGTTTTGACAGTGGGGGGGGGGTGATGGGGGAGGGGGAGGACAGGTAGCCAGGCCGAGGTAGGAGTCGGTGGATGTGTGGCTAGAACCAGAGAAGGGAAGTCAGGTGCGGTCTGTGACTGTCAGCTCCGCTTCGGGCCTCTTTGTTTGTACCCCGTTAATCGCAGACGTTCTAGTGACTTACCCATCTGAGATAGTTCGAATAACATGTGCGAAGTGTGTTATTCCCAAGACAAAGGGAATGGAGGAATCCAAGATGTTAACTAAAAAAAAAGAAAGTTGACATTCTACTGTCTGTATGTCAGATGGCAGAAGGAACAAAATTATCACCCGGAAAAGACCATACAGGCGACCATTTAGTTTCCTTTTTTTTTTTTTTAACTAGTTAATCTCCTCTCATTGTGAATTTTGGCTATCTTTCTGGAGGAAGCTCAGTTTGTCCATCTGTGAAAGGGGTGTGTGTGTGGATTTCTTGCCGTTAGGTGGAGCCAGAGGTTAAGCTAGTGCTTGGAGATCCCAGTCCGCCCATTGAACCAACCCCCAGGGTGGAGAACTGACAGGTGGCCGAGCAGTGCCAGGGCTGGTTGGGGCCTCGGTTCAAGTTGCACACACGCTGAGCCGGCAGCGAGCACCAGAATGCAGACAGCCTCTGTTCACATGGAGCTGTTGATTTTCCAGCCTGATGTCCTAGAGATAATCGGCGAGCTGTGTTCAGTGTAGCTCTAAGTCGGTTAAAACAGCCGCCCGGGTAGATAATGCCCCTTTACTGGAACTGTCACCAGGACTGCCGGCTTAGACATTCTCCAGCCAGCTCATGATGGAACTGATCGAGATGTCAGCACAAAGAAGGAACTTAGGCACCTTGGAGATTGATACCTCAGGAGGATTTTCTCCGGAGAGGGTGCAGGGTCTGGGTTAGGGGAGTGGAAAGGACTCCTGGTAGGTTAAATAAAGCGGTATCCTATGGCAGCCGGCACTAAGGAGCTCAGCAGAGTAAGCCAATGACATTCTTCATTTGGCCTGTGGGGCTCCCAGTCCCGAAGTCAGAGAGCAGGTGAGTGTGTGCGCTTTTACCTGGGTCTGTTCACTGTCAGGTATTCCTGTGGTTGGGGGGGTGGGGGGTGGGGGGAGAGGGAGGAGAAGGGAACAACATGACTCATTGTGTTGTATGCACTTTTAAAGATTTGTGGTAATTATAATTATTCACATCTGATCTCTGGGTCTGCCACTGCCCTTTTTGGAGATTTGTGGCCAGCCTTATGTCTTAGGATGGGCTTTGTTGGAGAGGTTCTGTGCACAAATCTTAAGATTTTATTGCTCAAGAAGTCCCTAGCGTCCATCCCAAATGTCATCCTCCAACTCTACCCCTTGTGGTCAGGAGGGGTTTCCTGTTTTAAGTGAGATAGTGGAAGAAAAGGGGTCTCATCTAATTTGTTGGGAGAGAGGAAAAGGAAAATACTCAGTTACAGACTTCAGCCTCATTTTAGGCAGTTCCAGAGGAATCTGGCCAGTAAACTCTCATTTTTGGATCAGATGGGATCCTTACCCTGAGCCCTTGAGAGGCAGCCTTGGAAACTGCCCCACTTACCAGTTCTGGCCCAAGTGGAGACTAGCAGCTTCATTCATTTCCCCCAGATGCCTTCCAGAGGGAAAGTGGGATGGTTGTGGTGTGGGGTTTGCAGTGTCTGTTCCTGTAGATAAAGCTGCCTTAAGCTCATGTTTCTGTCTTTCTATGTCATCTTTCTCTCTTTTTTTGGTGACACCTCCATTCTGGTCAGGGACAACTCTACACTTGATATTAACTGCTGAACTTCCCTGAATCAGAATTGAGATCAGGTATGAGAGAAGAACTGTTCTGTACTCCACCTTCCCACACCTACCCCTGAAAAAATAACCACCACAGAGGTGGAGCTAGGCTAGTGGCAAGAAGGGGAAAACAGCTGCTGTTTGCTGATGGGAGCACAGGGAGACACACAGCTTTTTCTTGTTTGTCTCTGTCGGCTTCATCACAACATGTTTATTACAGGGCACAGACTTCCAACCAGAGAGGCCTTGGGGTCTCACACAAATCACTCAACTCTTTTGAGCAAAGGAACAAGGAATATTGGAGTGTGTCCAAACTTGTTTTCCAGTGTTGGAAAAGTTGTTTTCCGAGGCTGACACAGTTTTCTAGTGGTGGAAGAATCCTCTCATTGGCTCTGGAACTTGGGGAGGAGCTGACTTGTTCTAGATTTGATGGTGGTACCCAAAAGGGACAAGTTTAATTTTTTTTTTGAAAAGGTGATGAGCAGGGGGGATTACAGTTACATAAGTAAGGCAATGAGTGCATTTGTTTCTACTCACTGTTACTCCATCCCTCATCATCTCCCACTTACTCCTCCCTTTTCCCCTCCCTCCTAGTTGTAATGTTCATATCCAACATAGTTCAAGTGAGTATCAATGTTGCTTTGGCTCATCCATTGTCCTGCTGTTTGACAAGTTTCATTTTTAATACCCCAAGTTTCATTTTTAATACCTGTGCATAGTTGAGGCTGATGAACACTTCTGGTTTGCTTTTGTTTTCTGTCTGAACATTGCAGATAGGAAGTTTTTGGTACCTCAGCCCCACTTCTAGTCTCCTGTAATGGCTCTGAGCATTGTGATGGATTAAGCCCAGTAGAGGAAGTCATTTAGAAAAAGGGCCAAAAAACATACGAGGCTCTGTGTAAAGCACCTCTATGGTAGGAAAAAATTTTAGTCTTTGCTCAAAAGAGCTGTATGATGCTTAACTCATTACAGCCAGTAGTTGTCATAGGACTACAGGACTCCTGTGATCTCCATTTGGTCCTTCAGCACTAGGACATCTACTGTGTGTAGATTTGTCTGTGTGTGTGTGTGTGCGTGTGTGCACAAGCATGTGTCTGAGGATTGCATCCAGGGCCTGGAGCATGTTAAGGAAGCCCTTTACCACTGAGTTGCAATGCTAGTCCTGCACATTTCTTCTTTGGTAGCCTGGGATCTGGATGATGGAATGATAAGGGCCACTGAAAATGAAGAACAATAGTTAAGTAGCAATTTTCACTGTCTGCCCCACAGAGAGGAGGTGTATGCAAATACTTTGGGGATCTTTTCTGCTAGTCCACACACTAGTGTGTCCTCCTGGGAGATCTCAGCAGACAGTGCTGCACAGGAGCCCCACAAGTCAGTCACTTATTCAGCCACTTGCTGTCTGACCACTTGAGTTCCTGTCTGGATTCATTTGTGTTCACTGTAGAGTCCTTTGCTGCAACCAGATTCCCTCCTTACTGGGGTGGGATACTGGAATGACAGGCTGGCCAAAAAAAGTACAGTGGAATCTTCCAGAAAGGAGACTCAGCTCCAGGGAGAAGGGAGTAGGGAGGAACCATGGGGAACTCTACAGAAAGAGGTCCTGTTAAAAATAAGGCATGTGGCAGAGAATGTGGCTTAGTGGTAGAGTGCTTGCCTAGCATGCATGACATCCTGGGTTCGATTCCTCAGTACCACATAAACAGAAAAAGCAGGAAGTGGCACTGTGGCTGAAGTGGTAGAATGCTAGCCTTGAGCACAGAGAGGCTCAAAGACAATGCCCAGGCCCTGAAATCAAGCTCCAGGACTGGCAAATACAAAACAAAAACCCCAAACAACAACAAAAACAGCAAGTGAGCTGGGCGTTGGTGGCTCACATCTGTAATCCTAGCTACTCAGGAGGCTGAGATCTGAAGATTGTGATTCAGAGCCAGCCCTGGGAAGTCTATGAGACTTTTATCTCTAACCACCAAAAAGCTGGAAGTGGAGTTCCAATGGTAGAGCTCCATCCTCGAGCAAAAAAGCTAAGGGTCAGCACCCAGATCTCGAGTTCAAGCACCATTTTGGGCACCTCCTAAAAAAGTAAATTAAAAAGAAAAACATCACATGGTAGAAGCCTAAAGTAAAGGAGATAATTTCCCACCTCTCCCCATCCATGTACAGCTGGAGGAACAGCATTTCTGCAAGGGAGGGTCTGGGGGTTGCTGGTCACCCCCCCTCCAAGTTCTCTTTCATAAAAACTCCTTGAATAGCCTCTCTGGAGATTTTTTGAGTGCTGTTAGTATTTACTCTGAAGAAAAAGGGGCAGCTCCATTCCACATTGTTTCCATCTTGCTTCTAAGTGCTTTTGACTCAAGACTGTTTGGGTTCCAGCCTTGTACTTCTGCTCACACTGGGTACTGGTCTTCCAGCCTGCTGAATGAAGACCTGAAGACCAGATAAAGCACTTAGAAGCCAAGAGGTGAGAGGAGAGTTACAGCTGAATCCTTGGTGGTCCTCTTTACTGGAAGCTGCAAGTACCTCAGCCCCACTCCAAAAGCCTGTGTTCCTCAGCACTCCTTAGAGAGCTCACTGAGAGAGGGCTCGGGAAGCCAGCAGATATTAGAGACCTTCCACAGGAAGGCACTGTTTAAATAGTGAAATAGGACGTGCATATAGAAGTTCCTGAAAACTCAGATACACATGCAGTTTAAATAACAAACGCAAAAATAGAAACCTCATCACTACCCAAGAAAGCAAAACATTGATAACCCTAAAAAGCCTGTGTTTATTTTTTCTGTGGGTTTTGTACTTACTTTTTTTTTCTTAGTACTGATGCTCAGAGCCACTAACTTCCCAACTCTTTATTTTACATTTATTTGTTTGTTTTGCTGGTCATGGGGTTTGAACTTGGGGCCTGGGCACTGTCCCTGAGCTTTTCTGCTCAAGGCTAGCACTTTACCACTTTGAGCCACAGCACCACTTTCGGTTTTCTGGTAGTTAATTGGAGATAAGAGTCTCACAGCAGTGGCGCCGTGGTTCAAAGTGGTAGAGCACTAGACTTGAGCAAAATTGCTCAGAGACAGTGCCCAGGCCCTGAGTTCAAGCCCCACGTCGACCAAAAAAGGTCTAGTGGCAAGGCTCAAGTGTA